GGAGTTTATTACAAAGTCAAAACCCTTCAAAACCATGGATATCATAGCTAAGGGGAAACATCTAAAATATTTCATTTAGACAACCTTATTTATACTAATCATAGGTCTAAACTGAATAAAAAAATAAAATTTGTAAACTAAATACTTCCAAAACTGCATGCATGTGCATTGCATTGATGTGATGGTGTTAAAAATTGTTGCTCAGGTCATTGGTTTCTCCAACAGGGCAGAGAAATACCACTCGTTTTTGTCAATCCCTCGATCAAGCTTCATGCCAGCGTTCCACCTTAGGTTCCTGAATCCAACACGATCCAACATTGGAACGTATGTTTGATTCAGCTGTGATCCCAGGCAGAAGAAGTGATCAAGCCAGAAGAGCCCCCCTGGCCTCAACACTCTGTATATATCATAGAGTGTGAATTCCAACATCGCATCTGGAATCCAGTTGCTCAGAACATGCATCGAATGAACTATGTCTAGAGTGTTGTCAAAGAATGGAAGCCTCTGAGAAACACTGACATGGATAGAGATCAACCCCCTTGACGCAATAAAGCTGTTGAATGGACCGTCCAAATTCATGGAGCTGGTGACGATGGTTACATTTCTTTCCTTCATTCTTGCCGCAAATGTGCCACTCCCGCCTCCTATGTCAAATCCAATGCGTATAGTCCCCTGAGGCCTTGTTTTGAGGACTTCATCGATGCCATAATCAAGCCCCCCATTGTCAAGAAGCCATCTACTCTTCTCCCTGCCCTCCAAGTCGAAGCAGTCCTTGCAGTCGAAGTAGCCAGGTGCCTTTCTGCGTTCAATGAGGCACTTGTAGCTTTTGCAAGTATATGGATCCCAAATAATGCTGGTGTCTGGTGGTGTAGTCCAAAGACTCTTTGGAAATGGTGTTGGCTCCACATAGTTGGCAGGGGACTTAGGATGGCATCTACGGCGAGGGAGAGGCTCACACCCCTTAAGCATCAACCTCTGAGCAAACACATCATCCACCGGACATTCCCCTCCAACTTCATAGGTCATGTACTGTGCTAATTCCTCTTGATACCTTAAGCACGCTCCACCTACTGGCGGATAAACCTCGTCGGATCCCATCCTTGGTGAGTACCCTAGTGGGAGTTTGTGAGGACCTATCACTAGCATAACTTCATCAGACATAGCAACATTCAATAGTTTCATGGGATCGCTTCCTTTCTCTTTCTCAGTCAATCCCTCATGTCTGCTGCGTAGCTCTGTAAGAAGAGCTTCAACAAACAAGTTGGTAGAGTTGAGCTTTTTGTGGAACTCAGCAATTAGAGAATGACTGATGGCAAGTTGCTCTTTAGTAGCGCTAAGCTCATCCAATAGAGTAGTGGGGTCCCCGAGAGGGAGAGAGATGTGATTCTTTGAGCCCAATGGAGATGGTTTCCAGTTAAAAGAAGGGCTAGTGAAGATGTACATAGTGAGAAGGTTGGTTAGTATTACAAGCACAAACATCTTGAGCTTGTACTTGGTATGGAGCTGCTGTTGATGGACATGCTTTTTAGGGTAATCCTCAACACCATTTACCATCTTTCTTTCTTTCTTTCTCAAATGAGCAAAGACTAATGTTGACACTAGTTAAATGGCATGGAAGAGGCAGAGGCAGAAGAGGAAGAAATTAGGTCGAAGAGTAAATGCAAGGCACAGAAAGCGGCGAAGTCGCATGTTCTAGTTCAAGTTTGGTCATTGTAACGCGCCGCTTTGGACGTTCCAAGACTCTTTTCCACAAAATTAATTCAATTTTTGCACCCTGCCCTGGCTCTCCGGATCTTGGCTCATCATCAGATTCATTGAATATGGCCTCTACTCATGCATTATCCTATAAGTTTACCACATAGTTCTCTCCTTTTTATGCAATTTAATTAGATATTGCATGTAGGTGGCCATCACCATTGCTATAGAAAACACATTTAGTGATTTGTTTTTTTCTTTTCTTTTCTTTTTTTTAATCATCATTTAACTTTATTTTAACAATAGCTCACATGATTGGTTTTAGCAAACTATCAATCGTTTTGTTCTCATTTTGCAACAATTTCATCATAATAGCTAAATTACAAAATATTATTATGGAATCGATGCAACCAATTTATAAATTGTTGAAAGTAATTAAATTAAAGTGTAAGATTGAACGAGAAAAAATGGGATTGCATTATCTATTTATATAAAAGTAGTTAAAAAAAAAACTACCCGTTTGAGCCATTTTTAGAAATAATCTGGTTTTTGTACATGAACATCTCATGTATAACGCCGGTACGTTGCCGCTGGTGTTATAGGTTGGCATGGCTATCGGTAAAGGAGGAGGGATTACATAGTGTGTTAAGATTACCAAGGACCAGGAAGCTGATCCTCAATAATGGTGCCATTGTTGTTATCCTTCTTCCATGCTCTTTGGTTGTCTTGTTCTTTTTTTTTCTTTTTTTTTTGAAACAGACTGATGAAGGGGACTCTGCTTCATCTGCAGTTCATGGATTGAATGGTAAGCAATCTGGAGAAGAGCAGTTCTCAGTGAAAGTTCCTGGTTCCCACCTGAAATACCTTTTCTTCCTGAATGCATGATGTCAATGTAGTGATTCGTTGCAGGGTATGGATTTGGATCTGGATCAGAGAGCAGACAATTCATGCAAGGTCTTCTATGCGATCCACTAGCAATTGATTCCATATCTAACTATTTGAAGCTGTCAGATTCTCAGACCATTTGAGGCTGCTATGGATAACAACGTGCCTCAAATGGTATCAGCTCCACTTGATCCCCAGCTATGGTTACAGTCACATGCTAGTTGCCAGCAATACTTGTGATCAGGCCTACAGCCACAATCAACTGAGTTATGGACAAAAACATCTCCGGTCTTGCCGCCACAGCAACTCATGGGCAAACTACTTTGCCATCTCAACCAGATAGCGCAACGAGCTATAGCCGTAGCTGGAATTAGAATGTTTATGTACATTTTTGATGCACAATTAAAAACAAGTGGATCTGTGGCGCAATGGTAGCGCGTCTGACTCCAGATCAGAAGGTTGCGTGTTCGATTCAGTCAGGTTCATTTTCCACAGAATATATCATTTTAACTGAATCTTCGTAAAGCAGCCGGGCTCCACGCTAATCCGATCATCGGCTTAAAATAGATTTTAAATTAAACTAGGTGAGCCGATCCTTACTGATTAAATATTAATTAGCTGATCTAGAAGATAAACCCCCCCATCTAAAAAAAGTCAAATCAGGGTTGATAACCACGTTTGGGAGGCTAGATTGGATCGTATGTCCATATATATTTTTCTATTTCTAGTTTTTTTTTTTTTTAGAATATGGGTTAAATCCAACTTAAAAAAAATAATTTTTTATGATGCCATAAATATATTTTTTCAACCGAAAAAAACATAAAAGCATTAGAAAGTTAAAAATATTTCATTTAAATATTTTAAAAATTAAATACTATAAAGGGTTAATTTGTAATTTAATTAATTTGGATAAAACTTTATAAAATGAATGTGAATAATATTTATGTTTAAAATAGTATATATATTTTTATTTATTTTTCACCTAGCTAACACATGATTAGTAATGTGAAGTAGATGAGATGACTATGATCCCACGTTGGGCCGGGATCGACGCCACCATTTGACAACTATTTAATGCAAATAAATTGAAATTTATTTGTTCTATATGGCTTAGTTGTGAGTGTGACCACCACTTAATTAACAATCCACAAACAACATGAAAATACCAAACTACCCATCACTTAATTACGCTGCACTTCTACCTAATTCAAGAAACATTTTATTAGCAAGCTTGCGAGGAAGATTTTAATCTCTCTCCCCAAATTAATCACCATTTTAATTTCCAAATTCCAACCATCAAAATTAATACCTTGATGGATGATCATTAAAGGACATTTAATCAGATGATACAATCTACCCTCCCTCCACCATTTCCCCTTTTGTGGTTTTTTTTTTTTAAAGTGTTTTGGTTTGTTTTTAAAATTATTTTTTATCTTAAAAATTAAATTAATATTTTTTATATATTTCTTTTTATTTTGTTACTGTAATATTAAAAATAATAAAAGTTGCCTTTGAAGTCGTAGCCTAGCAATTATAGGAAGAACTTGTTCCCTTCCTTCAACATTTTGGTTTGATTTTTTATATACATGTTTGTCATCCTTATGATATTTTATATGCTTATTAGGCTTGCAGAATATTTAATGGGCCTAGAGATTAGTTATCGTGGATGTAAGCTGACCCGGATGCTCCAGGTTACCAAAATAAATAAAAAATCAGAAATGGAGCTACATATCTATCCTTCTTTTCTCAAGAAAATATGTATTACACCATTCATTAATCATTAACATAGTAAATAAATAAATAAAGAATATTTAGTTTATTTTCATTCTCTAATATTTTTTTCTATTGATACTTTTGTTAAAATTAGCATAAGGTGTATTTAATGGATTATACCCTTTAATTTTAGATAAGAAAAACCAATTTTCTTATATGTTAGATTTGATGTTTTTAATATATAACCAAACTTACTTAGATTTGAATCCTTACGCCAAACTTACTTATTTTATATTTTATTGATTTAAAGGGATTTTTTTATTAATTTATATTAAACTTACTCACATTTCAATTTTAATGAAACTAATTACAAAAAAAGATATATATATATATATATATATAGAAGAGTATAATTGAGAAATGAAGTGATCTATGATGGTCACTAGTATGCTTCGGACATTATGTGTTGATCGAGATTAAATTTTTTATTATTATTATTATTGTCTTTAAAGATACACCTTCTATATTAATTTAGTTTATTAAGAAAAAATTACCTAAAAAAACACAAGTACCTTCTTAATGACTGGGATTTCCTTCAGAGCTTCAACTACATGTTTGCAAGTATTCTATACATTTGATTATTGACCGTATGTACTTTCTCCCACGAAAATAAAAATAATTTACTGTATAATAATTTATTATTACTATAGAGCTGAATAATTAATGTATAAGAGTGTGGAAAACAGCATATCATTCTTACTTTATACGATATTTCCTTTCTTCCATTGATTTTGCCACTTTTTTTTTGTAAGGAAAAAGAAAACAAGTTCGGTATCATTTGTCGCCATCAGCTGGACAACCTTGTGCTAATTTCTTGAGGTTTTCAATGATCATAACCAGCTTCGTGTTGAGCCTGTTCACAAAGCACTTGGGCAGCCATCCAGCAGGATCCAACTGCATAAATAGTAATAAAGCAATCAAAGATACCTTTCAATATCAACTTTTGAAACTTCCCAGAAAAACAGAACAAAATTTATCTATATTGATCTAGTATACAATGATAATGGCCAGAAGAAGGAGAAGAAGATTTTCGTGTATATTCCTGCATAATCTCGAATGTTTCGTGTTTAATCCTGCATGGTCGCGAAATGACATGTATAAATACCTGAACGACATAGGTGACCATACAGGAATCATCCTCAAGCTTCTCCACCACCCACCCTGACTGCAGCAAAAGTCCTCTGATAGCATTATTTTGCTTTGGATGCAATCCTGCTGCTATCTCTTTTGGCAATGAAGCTACTGCCACCACCTTTGCATATATTTTCAAAAGAAATGTGATTAAAATCTGTGAAGACAGCATAAAAACTTGTAAATCGTAACAGTTGAGAGACAAAGGGTTACCAGGGTTCCATCTTCCATTGTTTCCCGTCGCTCGTATACTATAAACTCTCTGTTTCTAAACAAAGGTTTAGAGTTCTCTCCGAACCTCAGACGGATTATGCTGAGATTATCTTCAAGGTCCTTTATGTATCTAGCTTCCACCAGGTCCTGCTCCCATTGCTACAGCTCCAACAAGTTCAATCAATATTAATGTCAATTTCATCAAAGATTATCAATCTACACGCAGTAACTTAACATTTCCAACAGCTACATTTTATGCCCAATTAGATCCGGGTGCGATCCGAAATAGCTGTCGTTCTTGCAAAAAAGTAACTGAAGAACCCATATTTTGTCTGGCAGAGAAAAAAATAGAGACAAAAGTTATCTTGTCCATGATTTGGAATGGAGTCAAATCATCTTGATAATTATGATGGTATCGTTTGAGCAATATTCACCGTTCATTCTATATTACCATTGCTAGCAATTTCCAATCATATATTCAGCTCCACAAAATCATAACATGTAAGCTGAAAAACTTAACCTGTATATGATCTTAGAGAGGGACGTTAGAGTAAATGGATTACCTTAGCAGCATCAATGGCATTGGCAACAGTGATGAATTGTTGAGGGGAGACTGATCTGAGCAGCCAACGGCTGCGAAAGGTGTGGAATGATCCAGACCTACGTTTTGATATCTCTACCCCATTGTCTAGATCAGTTAGAATCTTCCATCCATCATTACCAACATTGCCAAACCTATTCGAATCGGAGGCAGACAGCAACTCTTGTATGCAGCTTTCGCTAGCAAAGTGTACGTACCTTCTCAGTGAGTCCTCGCTAATGGACCTGCATACATGCAAAACCCAAAATGAAAATTTAGAATCTAATCAGGAAACTAAAAACTAAAATGAATACAGCAGTGCTCATGTCTAAGTTGATTGCAAATTCAGCACTAGGAGTTACCAAGATCGGCTGCAAGGTGTTGGACCGGTACTGTTCATCGGTTCAAGAATTGCTCTTCAAGTCTTGTTTTTTCACTTCAAGGAGTATACGCGTATGTGTGGGTGTATATATACAGAGAGGAAAAGAAGAGTTTTAACTTAAAGATCGGCTAGAAAGAGAGACTGAACAGAAGTGTAAAATAAAGCGAAGTGGGCCGAGGCCATTGATGCACATGGATTGCCAGAAGAAACTCCATGATTAGAACTGCACGTCTCTCTCTCTCTTCTTCCTCGAGAGAGAGAGAGAGTTAAAAGATAGATTCTTCCCTTGCAAAAAAGCAGCAAGAAGCGAGGGTGGGGAGTGTCATGCACATGGACTGTTGGTGCCTTTTAAAATCAGCTGAAAGAAAAGGCTGAAAATTAAAGCCAAGATTAATTAAAAGGTCTTAAACTCACTCTATCATGATCCAAAACCAAAAAGCATGGCTTGGCCTGGTTTTAGGTAACATCGACCCTACCAAACAAACCCAATAAGTTGTACATGCGCCATGACAAAGCTTAAACTTCCATATCAAGCAGCAAGACGGACAACCTGGCCCCAAACTATTGCTTAGTTTGTGTTTGAAGTTGTGGTAATTTTTGTAATTGCGATTTAAAATAAAATTTAAAAAAACTATAAATCGCAGTTTTCAAGTTTTCAATTGAAAAAAACTACTCCTTTGCGAAGTAGTGGTTACTGTAAAATACATATGAATCCTATGAAACATTTGCATTACATGAAGCACTTGACATGTAACTGTCTGCTTGTTCGAAGAGATAATTTAATCCCCTGTTCTGCTATCGGAACAGAGTTTTAGGACCCACTCTACTGATCATCAAATGTCTCATGGGAATTGCTTGCATGGTGAAAGGCGAATCTTGGTTTCTTGTGGTCCAGAGGAAACGAAATGAAAACATGGTTTCTACTCATTAACTGATAGAGGTTACTGAGATTAAAGAATGAACATGGGTTTCTACTCATTAACTGATAGAGGTTACTGAGATTAAAGAATGAACATGGGTTTCTACTCATTAACTGATAGAGGTTACTGAGATTAAACATGGGTTTCTTGTCATCATAAGGGATGATAATCAGATCAAGGATCACATTCAGCTGTCGTAAAACATAGAGAAAAGGAATGACCAAAAGGAGGTTATTAAATTATTAATGAAGATCTTCCTGTCTTATCAGTGACAAATCATGAAACAGTGAACATCAATTTTAGCTCTAAAAGCAAACTAAGATTGAGACATTTCATTCCTGAGGAAACCTTTAGCTTTCAAACTTTCCACCGTTTCTCGTACAGCATCTTCAACTGGAGTGAAGGCTAGCCCCAGATCAATTAATTTCTTGGATGCATCCTTGCATGCTCTCAGACCTGGTTGAGTTTCCCCACTAAACCTGTAAGGGATTTGAGTTAAGAACATGCACTTAAGCAACCAAACAGAAACCTTAATTACAGAAAAGGAAAGACAACATGTAAAAATGACTAGATGTTAAAATGGTTTAGAATTCAAATGACAACGTCAATATTCAGTTTACTGGATATATAATTCCCACTTGGTTCAGGTTGAAACAAGACAGCCAGGTTGTCCTGTTTCCTAACTGCATCTATGGCCACCTGACCTGCTCTCACTTGCCTAGGGAAACAAGGACTTACACTTTCATAGAAAATATATGACGAGGCTGCGTATTGAGAAGCAATTTTCTTCAAACTAATCAAAGGCATCCTTCTAATAAAATTGTCAGTCATATCGGGTTTTGACTGGATCAACTTGTTTTATAGAACAAAACCCATCTGGAGCCTAGACAGATAAGATGCAGGGTGAACGCAATCATTGATTTCATTTATGCCATCTTGACACTCAGAAATGCCCTTAAACTTCATCTTTCAAAAGCAGTAGGCCTTGAGAAAAACAAGCACAGTTCTATGTTCAATTAGGTATTAATTTATTTTCACCAGCATACAAATTTAGCTCCAACAGCCACCCAATTTGTGAAAATATGTATCATACATACGAAGCTTCAAGGGGGATCCAAACAAGAATATGAATCTTAAAGCTTCAACAAGGTCATTTAGAGAGCACCCAATACAGTGCAAAATACACGCAACAACACCACCAGTTGACATACGTGTTAGGAGGAATCCGTATTCTACAATAACCATCAAGAACCTATATAGTGGAGCATCATGTGATGGGACCAGGTTAAAGAAAGGTGGCAGAATAACTGGCAATTGACAAGTAATGCATTGTTATGCAATGAAGAGGGGGGGAAATTCTTCCAAACCGAAAGAGAAATGGACTTCAACGCAAAATAAATAAATAAATACAGAGGAAAAGTACATCGCTGATAATATCAGAATGGCAAAGGGAGAAGCTTCCAAATCTGTGCAAAAAAATAGAATAACTTGGCAATAAAATAGATGGGGGCAATATGACAAGATAAGCTTTTGAGGGGGTTTGATAATTGAGTAGCTAAAGTAAACTCATGTCCACCAGCGCTCCACATGCAGTGTGGACCAGCCACTGCTTTCCATAAGGTCATCCCGCTACAAGGACAACAACTAATGTACTATTGCATTACTTTTCTAATTCTTATCTCTTTTGAATTGTCCCCTATCCTTTTATTTTGCCATCATCAGAAACAGGAGTCAAGTTTTCCATTCTGCCAATGGCTGCCCGCTATCCTTGGAAATACAGACGGATGGTGGCAAAGTTTATCCAAGATATTGCCAGAAGACTAATTAAAGTCCCACTCGGAGAGGTGCTGAATGTTCCTTCAAAGTCTTCTCCACTAGTCATCATTACAACTATTGCCACCCGCTCCACAATCCCTCCACCAACATTTAAGAAAACGAATATACTGAAGTAGTCCAAGAGAAATTTATAGTGACATTAAAGATAAGATTGTCAATCCTAATTCAAATCCAGTAGGAATATGGATATTATCCTGCCTACAGACCTTTTGATGGATAACGCTAATCTTTCCTCTAAGCAGCTACCAAAATCTGGATTAGTTCAGCCATCAAACAGGAAATTGGGAACGGAATTCATACAAAAACAAATCCATCTACGGAAGACCCAAATTTGTTTTACCAAAACCCAAGCCTACATCACCCAAAGCTAATCTAAAATAACCTACATATATCAGAAAACATATATCAAAATAATTATTCTTCTCTTTTTCTTTTCTAATTCTTGTGGTTGCTATAACCCTCCCGACCATATAAAATTAAATATTTTAATTAAATATTTCAGTTTTTAATTTTGAGTTTTTTTTTAAGAAAAGTTACTTTTAATTATGATTTATTTATAAAAAGATTAAAAAAATTTAAATTTATAAAAATTTAAAGTTAATTAAAATTAAACGATTAATTTTGGATATGTTGTTAAAAATAAAAATTTATTAATTGATTTGTCATGGTTAAAAGATTTATTTAAACCTTACTAGAAAATCTGAACAGAATGATTTTAAGGTTGAAAATAATAAAATTTTATTTTAGTCATTGATTTATATAAATTATGGATTAATCCCTAAACTTTAAAAGATTATAATTTGACCCCTTAAATGTATTTTGAAATTCTAGGCATTATTCGTATGAGGTTAAGGATCATGAATCTCAGTTTTAAAATTGATTTGTGTGATTTTCAGTTTAGTATTTTTATTTTGAAGATTTATAATTTAGTCCCTAAATTTTAAAAAAATTATAATTTAATTCTAGAACTTGAAATGTAAATTGAGATTTTGTACAGAATTGAAAATAAACTAATAGGTGAAATATTGGTATGGCTATGTATTTCTAACATCTATAGCATATATAGGATCATCATTCAATTCTGGTAAAATTATGTTTTAATCCCAGTCTTCGAAAAAATTTCGTAAACCCATTCAGCAAGTGGGAATTGCAAGAAAGGGAAGTCAAGAAAGCTAGGCAGCCTACAATTACAAACCTGTGAAGAGGAGACTCGGGGAAGAGTCTGGAGACCGTCGCAGCAAAATCACCAAACTGGTAGATGCCATTGGTGCAAAGATATCTACCAGAAGCAGTAGGGGTTTCAAATAACAGAACCTGTGCCATTGCCACATCTCTTACATGCACAGCTCCCAGCCAGTGATATTCCTGAGTGTCTCTTGATCCTTGCAATAGTTGCTGTAACACAGCACAGCTAGCGTTTAATGCAGGCTGCAAGAGAGGGCCAAGGCACGTCGCAGGACGGATTGCCACCACATCCATTGCATTCCTCCCTGCAAACTCCCATGCTGCTTTCTCTGCCAGTGTCTTTGACACCGGATACCATTTCTGCCATAATGCAATGCCCCAAGACAAGATTTTTATTTATACAGAAATAAAAATCAGTACCAAATTTACTACCGCACGTACATAATCTAAAACTCTAGATCTAAATTACCTGGCGAGACTTGCAGTAATCAAGATCAGTCCAAGACGACTCATCAAACACCTTCTCCCTCGGCCACGATGGATTAGGAACCAAAGCCGATATAGAGGACGTCACAACCACGCGCCTAACCTTGAACTTCTTAGCAGCCTCCAGTACATTAAGAGTGCCTTTCACCGCAGGTAACACAAGTTCCTCTTGTGGGTCCTTTGGGTCCTCTAGAGTACAGGGAGATGCAACGTGGAAAACCCCTTGGCAGCCTTCCACGGCCTTACAAATGGCGTCGTGGTCAAGCACGTCGGCTTCGTAAACCTCCAGACTCACGCTAGCATCGGTGGCACCTGGGATTTCGAAGAGATGAGATGGGTCAGAGCCTGGGTATATAGAGGCGTGGATTTTGGTGTAGCCTTGGTCTAATAAGGTACGAACCAGCCATGAGCCAATGAACCCGTTGGCTCCTGTCACACAAACTGCTTCCTTTTGCTTGGCCATTGATTGAATCTGTGCCTGCCTTTTCTTTGCTGAATCTTTTAGTCATGAAAAATGGATTTGGATAGGATTAATATCTTCTTGTTTTAAAGTGTTGTGGTTATTTTAGGAAACTACCTTGACTACGTAGGATAAGATCAAGATTATCACAATAATATCCAATCCTTCCTTTGCTCACCTAACGAAACTAACTCTTCTTTTCGGCATTTTATCAAGCACCTTCTAGTCAATGTCAAGAGACACACATCTCTTTTTTTTTCTTTTTTTCTTTTTTTTTTTTTACACACATCTCTTTTTTTTTCTTTTTTTCTTTTTTTTTTTTTACACACATCTCTTTTTTTTTCTTTTTTTCTTTTTTTTTTTTTACACACATCTCTTTTTTTTTCTTTTTTTCTTTTTTTTTTAAAAAAAGAAAAAGAAAAAAAGAGACACACATCTTGTTTGTCCATGTCCTGGTTGCTTCAGGAAAGGAAAGCCCTTAAAATTTGGAGAAAATAACAATAAACCTCCTATAAACCAACCATGTCCCTTAAATAGCAATAATAATAATAATAAATTTCTTTGCATAAAATAGTAATAATAAAAAGAAAGGAGGAAACATAAAAGAGTTGTGGGGCACATATTGCTAACCGGATAAATCCAGATTCGAGCAGGCTTATCTTTTAGGCCCATATAAATAATTATTTTCAGCATAAACTTTTAGGCCCAATTTTTCAACTTTTCAACATATAATCGGTCATTAATTATGAAAAAAATCTGTCACAGATAAAAAAAAAAAAAAAGTACATGAATGCAATCAATGCTATGATTATACCTTCTTTACATATATAATTTATTAATTGAAAAGTACATCTTTAGAAAAATCAAGCAATTAGTGTATGCTTTTGCAAGTGTTTTAATTAAAATGTGTTTGAATAGAAAAAATAATACATTAAGTTGATGTTTTTAATGTTTTTTTCTTATGATTTTGACAAAAAAAAGGCTCTTAAATAATTCTCTAAATTATCACCAAATATAACTTAATTATGAATAGCATTTTTCTTGTTTATAATAAATTTATTTTCATTAGCACATAAGTTTTTAGAATTATATATCTATTTGATTAAGCATAAATATACAAAATGGTTCCTATGCTTCTTCTTCTTTTTGTCATATTCAAAAATTAAATTAAAATAGGTAATGTAATCTCAATCAGATATAAAATAGAATGCAAATCTATAAAAAAGTTTTCAAGCATCGTGTTCATCCTATCAAATACATAGATCATTTGTCAAAATAGAGTTAGCAAATTAGTCAGCTATTGAATTAGGTCACTAACCTTTCAATCCCTTGGAGGAAGATTCCTAACTTTCGTAATTAAATCCAAGTTGGCATATGATATTATATTGTCCCAAGTGTTGTAGTTGAATCAGATTCAAGCAAAGCTTATGGATACTCATGTCTCATGCATGTTCTAAACTAGGAACTATCGCCTATAGCTCAGCTTGAATCGAAGAGTAGTACCTAGTATTAATAGCAAACCCTTTAATCAATGTGCCATGGCTTTCCTGAATTAGACCTCTTGCTCTCACCCCTGAATTTGTTAAATAATATTTAGATAGTTTTATTTGTTAAGAGTAGAATAATACTTTCAGTTTAATTTATATATATTTTATTTATATTTAAGTTAAGGTTAAGTATTTATAATATACAGATTATTCAAAATTCTAGTCTTTTTTTTGTGTTTGATCTTAATTATTTTAACATGGTATCAGAATTGGTTTTATGAAATGAGACTTAATCCCAAACACAGCTTCGAGGTTTTATGAAACGAGGCTTAAAATTTTTTGGAGTGAGATTTTATCTTTTGTTTTTGCAAAATTTAATATTTCGTCAATTTCTACAAAAAAAAAATAAAAAAAATTCCCTTTCCTACACCTATCAATGTTGATCTTCATCCACTAACTAGGAGGGTAAACCTAACATATTTCTTCCACATGCTTATTGATGACCAAAAATATCACATCATTATTAATATACTTAATATCAAATACAAGACTATTGATAGCATATAATGGATTAGAGCTTAGATTGGCTTTGCCTCGAAAAACTCTATTATTTCACCACTTCCGTATGAACCATGGAATTCTTTTTTCTTTTCTTTTTTTTTTTGTAAAAGTACTAATAAAGAGATTATTAGTAAAACACTGAATAAGAGCTGTTAAGTTAAAAAAAAAAAAAAAAAAAAACGCTTTCTCTAGGTTTAATAATAGCTATGCTGTATACTGACAGTGCTAGTGCTGGGTTGCTATGCATCATAATCGAATAGTGTTGTTCGAATCTGTACTGTGACCATATGTGCAAGCAGTAGATATTCAATAACCTGGGAGAGCTAGTTACTACTCTTCACTTCAAATCCAGATATGTTCAAGCAGTGTTGACATATTTTTCACAGGCGAGTCTTGAGCCGATGCATGGACCGAGGAAAAAGAGTGCTTTGATAAGGGAAGTAAGATCTCGATTGCCTCCATATTAGAGGTGGAGGCAGACAGTTACACCTGCTGGACAGCTCAAGGCCCAACAAACCTCTTCGTATTACCAAAATGGAGGCCTATAGTGACATGAGATGCCTCATGGGATGGAATCACATAATTCATGATTTTGAATTCTTTTACAATCACTTTTGACCTTGAGTTATATATATATATATATATATATAGTATAAGTTATAATTCATAAATAGATAAAATTAAAAGTTTAAATTTTTTATCAATTCAAAACATTAATTAAATTTTGTAATAATTTTTTTATTTAATTAAAAAATTAATTTGTAAAACCCATATCAAACATGACTTTAATTTGCTTAGTTGACGATGTTCGTGGCTACACGTTAATTCCAAGTCAACTATATTCTTCATCTCTTGCTCTTTTTCCAATTGAGGGACTTCATCAATTTAATCTATCGAAATACTTGAATTTTAATGACTGCAGGTGAACCATTAATTGTTGCTAATTGCTGCAAGTTACGAAATACGTGTGTGTGTGTGTGTGAAAAAGGAAGAGTGAGCATTATAATTTAATTGGTTTACTCATATTTGATCCCTATACTCTTTCATTTTATTTTTTTGTTAGAATCTCGTACTTTTTTTTAATTGAGTCCCTTTGTTATTTACTTGTTTTGTAAAGGTCCTTCCATTAATTATAACGCTATGAATTATAATTATATAATTAAAAAAATAAGAAATAAAAGATAAACATGTAAAATAATTAATTTACTATAATTAATTTGATTTGTTCAGGTTGTTCTTTTTGTTAGTTTAGCTGGTTTAATTTTCACCTCAAGTGAGAAAATTTAAATCATGAAAGTGTTAGAGAGTATTTAGAAATATGACTGTAATTATTTTTTAATATATCTTTATTTAAAAATATATTAAAATAATTTTTTTTATTTAAAAAATAATTAAAAATTCAACTTATTATGAGCGACTCAATCAAAATATATATAAAAAAAGGGACTTCCATCAAAAAATTAAAAAAATATATTTACCGAATCATAATCCTAATTTATTTTTAAAAATAAATGCTATTGTACCGTGTAAGTAAATAAAGATCACACTAACATGCTCTTGTAATTTAAAATATATATATATAGAAAACATGCATGAGTTTTTAATTACCAAAATTGTCAAACCTTAACAATAAGCATTTTCAATAATCTAAGTTGGCAAAACCTTATATATATATATATATATAAAATCAAACAACATTAACAAACAACTCAAAATATGATAAAATAAAAAAAACAATATTTTCATATATTAATTAAAATCAAAACTAAAACAATTATAATTCCAAAGTAAGTCCATAAACATATTTAAACATGTAAAACAAACTACATAAATACGTGTCTTGTGAACATCACTTACTAGATTAAAGAAAATTTATTCCTTCAAACCTCATTAGTGGTGCCCTTTTATGCTTTTCTTTTACAAACTTTAGTTTTATCACATTTAAAGTGTAAGAAATTCTTATACTAGGATCTTAAACCTGCATACTTAATTAAAAGCTTTGTACCATACTGATTATGAAATAGTGATTTTGCAACAAAGTTGGTTTTGAAAATTTTGGTATTTTTGCTAAACTTGAAGGGTAATGAAATATTTCTAGCATTTTCATTTTGAGAGAAATATGATCAACCATTGATAATAAATCTCTAAAAAGGTTTAAAGTGTAAACACATAAAGAAAATCGGTAGTTTTACATAATAGATATAATAATCATGGCTGACTGACATGACCATTTTTTAGACATTGTTGGAGCGACTCTGATGCAAACGTTATTAGAGACCATATGAAGTTCACAGATAAGGTGCATATCTTTTGTTTGGATCCAACCTTACGTGCATATCTTTCCAACCTTACTCAATTTTGCATATCTTTTGTTTGGATCCAACCTTACTCAATTAAGAAGTTTGAAGTTTTACATTCATTTATTTAAAGATGTCAACTCAATTAGCCCAAAATTGCACAAATAAAAAGATGAATAGTAGGTAGATAATATGTCGTCTACCTTCTATTCTAAATGGTGTGTTTTGAACATGAACCGGACAACATGTCATCTAGGTTAGCAACCAAGAAATTAGAGTTTTTAATTTAGGATTTGGTCAAATTATAATTTAGCTCATACACTCTCAAATCTTCTTGATTATATATTTAATTATCCTCTAACTTTCACTGTTATGTAATTTTACCTTTGCTAAATTCAATTACCAACCCCAAAGTTCAGCTTCTTTTCCATTTTACCTTGATTTTTTTATTTATACATATTAACCCTCAATTGACCATTTGTTTTCAATTTTCTCCAATTTGGTCATTGATTTTATCAATTTCAGTCCCTAAAGTCATGCACCCTTTACAAACTTGTCATTGGTTTTGAATTTCTTCAATCATGTCTCTAATTGCACATCAAAATTCAATATTTATGCAACTAAGTTTTTTATTTGCCAAATTAGCTTTTTAAAATTATAATTTAACCCTCAAACTTCAATTTCTTCAATTAAAACCTAAATTAATTCAATGGGCCTTTATAGACTTCAATTTCTTCAATTAAAACCTAAATTGAACTTAAAATTAATTTTTCTTGCACTTAAGTCCTTAATAATTTTAGTTAAACCCTAAAAAAATTCAAATTAAGTCTA